ACAAGTGTTGCCATCTATGCGTAAAAACAATCAAACAAGTACTCACGGTGGGCATAGCACGTATGTACACGTCATACCCGGCACCAAGGGGTTAAAGATCAATGGGTATTACACTGATTTGCTATTGATTACCTATTACTCGAAAGATGCATCAAACCACCTTCTGTAGTAGATTTGCCTACACTTCATCAAATGCATATGGTGTTTTGGCTCATGCTAGGTGGAAAATGAAATCTGGAATCTTTGAAAGTAGGCTAGTAATGGTAAAAGGAAGAATAGCTTCTACCAGGTAAATTTCTATACCTAGACTGGAATTGTGTGGATCACTTATTTGATGCATAATACGCAAATTATTGGATGATAAGTTTCATATAGATTTAGTTCAGCAAGGCATACAAAAGACTCAGCTATTGTGAGAGCACAAATGCAAAGGCATATGGATTTGGGACTGTACAACACGAGTAGCTGTCCATTCTAAGAGTAATCCCAACGAATGGTGGTGGATCGCTTCTAATCACAATCTTGCAGATTTGCTTACTAGATCTAATAACCCATCAGGCATTATCATTAGTTCATTGTAGAAGTATGGCCCAAAATTCATGACTTTACCCAAAGAAAAGTGGCCAATAAGTCAATTTACAGAATATGACTTGATAGAATCCATGTTGACATGGCACACTACAGTTACTGGTATATACTGATATCAAATGTGATGAAGGTCAGATCTTTAAAGGGCATCTTATCGGAGCTTGAACCTGGTATTCTAAAGGAAGCAGAACATTTTTTTGTCTGGCAAGCACAAAAATGTTTTTCTGGTAATTGGAGATAAGTTGGAGCCATATAAGATTGAAGATGCACAATAATGGTAGGACAAAGACTGGAGCACTGGTTAAACAAAACTGAAATCAAGATAACGTTATCTTGTTACGTAGGAAACATCTGTTCACTGTACTTTGTATTAATCATTTACATAATATAAATCACGCTAGAGTAAATATTACACTTTGTAAGCGGCAGAATAAGTCTCTGATTAAATCTGTGACGAGATCCTTAGCAATGGTAATTGGATCTAGTCTGATGATCCATATAGTGATCTACAAAACTATATTTTTTGAAATAGCAAACCCCATGAACAAAAGGTTGGATTGTATACAAAATGTTAATATATTTTGGCGTAAACCGTGTATGTGTGTGTGTGTGTGTGTGTGTGTGTGTGTGTGTGTGTGTGTGTGTGTGTGTGTGTGTGTGTGTGTGTGTGTGCACATATAAACTAAGGAGAGAGAGAGAAGAAAGATAGGGAGAGACCGAGATTATACATATAACTTTGAAGACCCTCGCAGTCCACCAAGCGGTCTTCAGTTGCGTCCGGCTGCCAGCAAGCGGCCGTGGGGAGGGAGTGAGCAAGGGGAAACGAGGGCATCTTGAGACGCTCCTAATTTTCTTCCGAGAATATATTTCGAATATTTCCAAACAGTCTTGTAATTGCTTCCTTCAAATCCCTAAAGTGTTTAAGAAGCGAACATGAATTTCTGGCCCTGAATATTTACGATTTTTCTATATTTTCCGCTTGTTAATTCCGTTGTTATCTTTTTCTTTTCCTTTCTCTGTAAACGATCAAAAGGTCACGTGCTTCTTTGCAGCGCAAGGATACTGGAGGACATTATGGCGCGAAATGAGTTAAGGACTTTTTCGTCTCCTTGTTGGCTCGTTGGAGAGGACTTCGGAAAGGAGAGAAAAAAAGAGAATTCTGTCTTTGAACCTGAAACGGAAAACGACGCGGAAGTTTGTCTGGGGTACGAAGTGAACAATAACCGTGAATTATTTACTAAAGGCGCGCGGAAATTATTGGAGAAGAGTAGAGAGATGGAAGGGAGGAGGAATGGGAAGAGGAAAAAGTATGGTTTACAAAAATATCTAAGAGAAAAACTTGATTATTTGGGCAGGAGAATACTATACATGGAATTTGTACTGCCATCATATTTTTTATCAAGATTATATATGCATTTACGCATATGTATGTGACAGATATATATATACATGTATCTGTGTGTGTGTGTATGTGTGTGTGTGTGTGTGTGTGTGTGTGTGTGTGTGTGTGTGTGTGTGTGTGTGTGTGTGTGTGTGTGTGTGTGTGTGGACATCTATCCCAACCCTAGGATAAGCACTGAGTAGCTGATGAATGACCAAAATCGGTTACAGTTTCATATTAGAATATATCTATCATATTTTTACCAGAACTAAGCACCAGATGTCATTGCGCTAACAAGTGATACAAAACTAAGTCAAATATAACTTAATAGCTATCAGGACAAAATACCGAAAGTATGTAAAACCAGAATGCTCTTAAAAACTGTTATTTATAATTAATGAGTTGCTGAATTTCTTTTTAAAAGTCAGTGCTTGAATGAATATAAAAAAATTCATGAACATTTGGTTGCGTAACAGATTGTTACGATAATGTGCACATTTGGTGTTTCATAAGGAAAAGTAATTTACTCTC